CTAGAAGTGTTCTTAGCTCTTACCAGTGGAGATGGTAAGTTTCCCATGACAGATCAAGAAGTTTTTCTTTGTTTTGTTCTACCCACTTAACCCCCAACACATCTGCCAAAGCTAGCATCACAAACAATTTTAGTTTACAGGAATATATCTTAATGATGATCATGTTACAGAGCTTCTGTCTTCCTATTTAACATGAAAGCATTTATGGCACTGCTGATGTTCTCTCTCAGAATTATAAGGCGGTGCAATTCCTAAGATGACAGGATACAGGAAAGGAATGTGGACTTATGACTCAAGGTTGGAATAGGAAGGCCAGGGATTGCATGAAAATGTAGTGTTAATATTAAGTGGCTAGAAAGCTTCTTTTACTCTTGAAATTTGTCTTCACTCAGCCAGTTCTGCTACTAGTTCACAGATAAATGACTAAACATTTGAGGAAATAAAATATTCTAAAGAATCTCAGTATCCTATCCATTTTCCAGACCTCACTGGAAAAGTAGTTCAGACATCTTATACAACTGAGCCAGAAAAAGTGGATGTTTTACAATGTTTCTTGCCATAAACATGACATACAATAGAAAATAACTGGATTAAAAAAGGCTGGGGTAGGACACAGAATACCAAACTAATTTTTAACACTTCTTTGCAAATGTTTTGGAAAGCATCTAACATAGCAAATATCCTTAAGGGATCAATGCTGTATAATTTAGCCTGCAAATGAAATAAGAAGCAATAATGTAATATGTATATCAAACCTTACCACACAAGAAACCCCATTATAACTAATACAGCTTTTGCAATCAGTGTGGCATAAATAAATAAGAGTAAGATAGATTCACAACACTGTTAAAATTTAAGTCAGTTAAACCAACATTGTAATTCATAGTAAGGCCAAAAGAAAAAAGTAAATGTTGCTTACTGATTGCCAGGACAGACCAATCAGGTCTTTGGGATTATTCCGAATTCTGTGCCCCAAAAGCATATACTTTGGAAAGTTTTACATAAAATTTATTTTTAACTTTCATAAAGGTAAGTTCTTATATGCCAGAAAGGGGTTACTACTGATACTCTAGAAACATTTCCAGGAGACTATGGTCAAATTTTCAGAAGCTGTGTGAACTATTTTTCAGCTTGGCCCTTGGACATTGACCCGCAACCAGAATTAAACTCTAATTTTGGCATTAACTTTTCAGCCTGTAATTCACTATTACACTGTATTTAGTTACTTAAGTATGCAGCTGTTCCATCTCAAGAATAAGCCAGTTAGAACCACCTAATTAAATTACCCAAGAACATTAAAAAAAAAAAGAGTAAGGGAACACAACAAACAAAGAATAAGGGAACATAAGAATTAAAAATAAAGAGTAAAGGGAACTGTTACAGGCCTCTTCCAGCCTTATAGGAAGCAATACTTAGCTACAGACCGAAAAGCTAATTACTCCAACCCATAGCATATTAAAGAAAAAGTGGCCTTTGTATCTTTCATCAGTTTCCTTTCAATTTCAAATATTAAAGCAGCAAAGGTTTCAAAGAAGTTAAGTTCAAGAAGGTCCTGAAGCCTCTCTCTTTAACAAGCATATCATAGAGTGGAAGCTACACCATCATATTAGGTCACTCATTTTTAAAATGGAAGCGGTTCCCACACATTTGTATGAAGCACCATTATCACTTACGTGAGTTCATGCAGTTTTCTACTCTTTTCCTGATCAGTCGCTTTCAGCTTCTCATGCTCAACCCTAAGACGTTCCTGTTCAAGCATCATCTTCTGGTTTTGGCTGAACACAGAAAGCAAACATGGTATCAACTGAACCTGTCAGACATCACATCCAGTAAAGCAACACGAGTTAGAAAGACACAGCTGGAGGAAACTCTTGCCACTTGACATCACACAGTCCAAGGACATCTGGTACCACTGAAATGACGACAGTTACTTACTCTTGAAGTTCAGTGATAAGTTTCTCCTTTGCATCAACCTCATCTCTTAGGCTACTGATTTGTTTCTGATGCGTCTCACGATGGCTCTGAATTTGCTGTTCCACAGCTTGCTATTAGAAAATATGGTATATGCTTTAAGAAGTTGCTACACTTCACTTAAAAAAAAAAAAATCCACAGAAATCTATTTACCTTGACTTCATTTGCAGTCTGAACCTTATTTAAGTGCTCTTTCTCCATCTCATGGACTTTTTCTAGTAGGGATATAGGAGAGAAAACACATTTCAGTCAGATAACCGTGATCACAGGGAAGATGGAGTTAATTCCCCTTTCCCTTCTGAGCACCTCAGGATTTGGTAAAAGACCTCTCCCACCACAAAGATTAATTAAATCAGTAACATCCTCAGTGCTCTTCATAGTAATTTCAAACAGCAAAGGTGCTTTTCCATCAGTCAGTTCTACATGATCAGTAGCAAAAAGCCATTCTTTAGCTCTGGCCTTTAATCTAAATAGAACAGAACAATTCCCTAATTATCACTATATACTTAACACAGTGGTGGTGGTGGTTGTGGGTGGGGTGCAGGGAAGCAATTCCTACCCTGTGCTCGGAGTTGAACTAGTTCTTCATTAAGGGAGTCCACAGACTCTTCCAGTTGCCTCTTTTTCTGCTCCACATTCTGAAGATATTCAGTCAATGACTTGATCTTGGCTTCATGCTTGTAGAATGGAAAGACTCATTTACTTTGCAACTACAGTTACAACTGCAAACAGTTTATACTTACTTTTAAACAAGTAACCTGATCTCAAAAACCAATTTGTGCCAGCTAAACTCTAAGAACAATAAGACTACTGCAGCAGATGTGTTATGCAGTCTCTAAGACAATGTCTTTATTCTGGATTGGAATAAAATGTTTGACTGGGAGATGTTTTGAATGTTAAATACTATCAGAGGCAAGAGAGGCCCACTGTACTTAGAAGACCACACTGAAATAACTATCTCCTGCTTTAAAAAAAGATGATCATCTGTATGTAGACCAAAATAGAGAAAAAATTAAATTTTCTCTGTTGATCACAATTTTCAGAAGCATTAGAAGTTACATTACTAATCTTTTCTAACAGTTAGATTAAAATATCCTTTCTTACTTTAGAAGTGAATTTAATCTTTTGATCAAGTTTACTGTAATTTTACTATGTTGTTGCTACCTCTCCCACTTCCAACTTGCTGCATTAGCAGGCAGAGTGCTCCCTAGCCACTGCTTCTCTAAGACTTGTATTTGTAGAGGGTCTCATGATGGAGAACATATGGATCCTAGTATTTAATACCAGGGCTAAAAAAGCATTACCGGGCTACAGACCCTGTAGATATTCTGATGTCTTGTCACAAAAATCACTCAGAAGCATCCAAACCAAAGAGAATACAGAGGATACAGCTGAGCCTTGTGGCTGTTTGATCACAATGTGCTTTATTAGGTGCAAAATAGAAACTGCATTTTTTTTTTTTTTCTAACAGGTTAAATTTAAAAGAACATTTAGGAAGTAAATGAACAGTTACCTGAGAGATACGGAGCTGGCAGGCAGCCAGCTCCTTTTCATTTTCTTCCATTTTCTTATTGCTTTCAGCTTGTGTGCCTTCTAACTGTTTGCAACGTTTGACCATTGTTTTCACTTCTGATTTCATTTTACTTATGTACAGCCTTGCAACTGTGAATTCTTCATCTATCATCCCGGTTCCCTCAGGCTGCTGAAAAGGGAGAAATGACACATTTAGAAAGCTCAAATTAGAAAGGAGCTGGAGCAACTTAGTGCCCAGCACACATCCCCTGCCTTAGCTGCTAATCACAGCATTTAAACACCAAAATGTAACTTTTAAAAAAGTTCTGATTGCTTATTTAGAAGTTGGCACAAAGATAAAATGGGTTAAAAATGTAAAAATAGGTAGAAGTGAGTCAATTGAAGAGGGAATTAAAAGTCACTATAGATTTCTAACACTGCTTACATTCTTGTCCTACAGTGATCATCTAAGTTTTATCTTTTATTTCAGCTCCTAATTCCATTTTTAATATATCCTGGTTGCCACTGTAGGTCAGCATTAGATTTCCAAGATGACACTGTTGATTATGGCCATTTCATAAAGCAGTTTAACAGTGTGAATGAAAACACCGCTTCAGAAAAAAAAGTCATACAAACTCTTGTCTACATAAGCAAACTGTTTGGAATCAGATTAAGTCATAGTATAAGCAATACATAATCTTATGCCCAAATTATTAACCACAATAGGAAGCCTCAGGTATCTTATTTTTACCACATTAAGAAAACTGACCTCACCTATTCACAATATGTGTATAATACATGGCATTAAAAAGTGCATTGACTAATCCTTACCTTGACATCATTATTTCCTACTGCAATTCCTATCTCTGCAAGATCTTTTAATAAGGAGGCCATCATTTCTGTTGCTCGTTTCTTCTGATGGTTGGTCATTTCTTTAAGTTTCTGAAGTTCTGCATCTATACTGGCTAAAGTGACCTACAGTAAAAGAAGTTACATTTTAACAATATAAACTCTTGTTTTTAGAACTGGTTTCATACTATTTAAATACAGCAACATGTGGTTGCCTACTGAAATGCCTCATTTTTATGTCTAAAACCAGACTCATATCAACATATGTAAACCATATAATAGAAGTTTAAAACTCCTAGAATGACAGTATTTCTCATGAAAGACATCTGAAGTAGTGGGGACAGAGGCCTTCAGTTCACAAAATATAATCTGGGATTGATGCTGCATCCTCAGTGTTCAGGACTACTCCTTTCAGAATGGAAAAATAACCTGCCTATTTTAGTTATTTTACATTCCATAAATACAACATGCAAATACACCTTCCTTTCAAGAAAAGCTGTAGCATGCTCCTTCCAATTCTGAGATTAGAAGAAGCAGATAATCTTAAGTGAGAATTACCCCAACTGCATGACAAAGACACAAAACTGACTCGGATCACTAGTATGTAATGAAGGTGTTAACTCCTCATATCTAGGATCTTTTCCAAATACTCTTCAGGTAGTAAAAGTCATAGGTACTTAAAAGATGAGAGCTATCAAAAGCAACACTCACTGTGCATTTTTCAGAAGTTTACTGGTCTTAGAAAATCATCCTTTACTAAAGCTATCTTGTTTTAGACTTAGACTCCCATTTTCTCTGGTGAAGAACATTTAAATGACTTCAAGCAAGAAACAGAGGTAAGGCAAGAAAAGTTATATTGCAGACTGTCGGTAACTTCTTATCCTAATTTCATACCGATTTTTGATTGAGTTCATCACTAAGCAGTTCATATTCCTTTGCCTTATCTTCTACTTCCTGAGACTTCTGATCGTAATTGACAGCTAACTCTTCAAGGGCTTGTAACACCTCTTTCACTTCCTCTTTAGAGGCATCATTTTCAGCCTGAAGACGATTCAGCTCTGCCTGCAGGTTGTCTTGGTCCCGTCTGGTCGATGCTAGAAGCTGCAATATTGACAGAGATTTATTTAAAACAGCCACCACAAATAAATCATCATGAAAATTCCACATATAAGCTGAATCTTATTAATGCTTTTAGCTACTACAGTAGCTTTTATCTACATTTTTAGTGCCTAGCATCACATGATAAGGATGCCAAGGACAGGTAGTTCAGCTTTAAGTATTTCAGCATGGAAGCTATTAGAAATCAAGACACAAGGACAGCAACTGGAAACGCACATGGAATATTGCAAGTTCTCAAAAAACCCACTGCACACTACTCATGAGTCTGAAATTGCCAGCAGGCTAGGGACTAAACTTCCAGCATTTTAACACTGTTAGCTCCTGATGAGCAACTAAAAGTGAGCAGTCACTAAAATATAAAGAAAAAAAATAAAATAAACCTTATATAAGATCAGACCCATTTCCTTCTTGCCATGTACACAAAGATGGCAAGGAGGATTATTAGTTTTTAATCTTTGTGCTATATAGAATTATTTTTCCTAATATCCTGGCTAAATGAAATTACTAATTTCATTACTGATAGGTATGTTCCCCACTTCACTGCTATCTCACTGGCAACAAGTGCCTAGAAATTGTTTGAACATTCTAGCAAGTATGCTCTAAAGTAACAGTTCCTTTTTCATTGTGGGCCATTACATTTCCCTCCTCTTTCTCCTCTCTCTGTACAACAACTAAGCAGCAGCAGACCTTAAAACAGACTTCTTACAGTAAATCAAGGTATTTTCAGTTTTGATAAACTTCTGACTTTGCCTGTGGAAAACATCTGCTGATATCTTTGCATAAAATATTTCAGCTCCTTAAATCTTCACGTATGCTTAAGGTTCAAGTAAACTGGTTTGAGTTTAGTCATCAGCAGAGTGTAAGTGGGGGGAACGAACATGCAGAGCACTTAGATAAGGAATAAAAGAACTATTGTACAGTAGTGAGCCATCACTCCGCTCCCTGGTCAGGAACTGTGACCTATTCAAAACATCTTCCATTTCTCTAAAGGAAAGACATAAAATAGAATAAAGATGCAAGAGCAAAACTCACCTCTTCCTGATCCAACATCTGTGTTTTCAGTTTTTCTACTAGCTGACTCTGCTGATTAATTTCTTCATCCTGTAGTTGAAATAAGACTGTGTTCAATAAACCAACAAATACCACTCATGAAAAAATAATCAGAGAGACAGTAGATGTTGAGCATTTAACCTCTCCATATTCCAAGACAGTTACACAACTGAAAGCAACAAAAATAAAATCCGATCCTTTTTATTTCACTGGCTGATCCACTGGGCTCTTATCCTGACATATATGTGTAAAACACTGTGCTTCAAAGACAAAACTCATACCTGTGGTTTTTGCAAGTCTTCAAGCATTCTAGTTTCCAAGAAACAACTAAGATTTAATGAAAAGGGTTTTTTTCCCCCCTCAGCAGACTTAGAACATTTAGATTAGACTAAGTTTAAAATTATGTTCAAATAAAATATGCATAATATGGAAAGAAAAAAGTCTGTCTTCAAATTACTAATTTTCCTGCTTTTGCATTATTTCCCTTTCCCTGGTACAGTATTATGGTAAGGGGTGGCAGCAGTGAGAATAGCCACATGTGTTGTGACCAGGCAGTCCATCTGCTCAGCCTGGTGGCAGAGCTGCAAGAGGAAGTCGAAAGGTTAAGACAGAAACAGGTGCACCCACCAGAAAATATCCAATATCAAGGAGATCCTGGATCAATCACCCCCCAGGCTCATGGCAGCAGCCTAAATGAAAGGAGTGGATGGAGGCAACTCCATGCTCAGGGCAGCAGACACACTCCCCCTTGCCCATCTTGCCCTCTCAGGGTCTTCTGCACAACAGGTTATGAGGCTCTGGATGTGGAGGGCCAGTCAATGCAGAATATGGATGACAGTCCACCTACATCAGAGGTATCCTCAAGGTCAGAAAGGCCTACCCCTCACCTCACAACCACCTCCACAAGGAAGAAAAGAAGGGTTACAGCTATAGGCAACTCAGGGTCCAATATGGTGGGCAGACCCTCCTTGCAGGGGAGTCTGCTGCCTCCCTGGGAAACTTCCTACCTTGACACAGACCTCGGACTATTGCCCATTACTAATTTTCCACCTGGATGGACATGAACCTGCAACCCATAGTTCAAGAGAGATCAAAAGAGACTTCAGGGCCTTGGGACAGACAGCTGGTGAGGAAATTCAGGGCACAGGTTACTTTTTCCCCCCTTTCCTTCCAGTTGCATGTAGTGGCACTGCCAAGAAACAGGACTCAGTCTATTAGTACATGGCTTCATGGCTGGTGTCATGGTGGGCAGACCCTCCTTGCAGGGGAGTCTGCTGCCTCCCTGGGAAACTTCCTACCTTGACACAGACCTCGGACTATTGCCCATTACTAATTTTCCACCTGGATGGACATGAACCTGCAACCCATAGTTCAAGAGATCAAAAGAGACTTCAGGGCCTTGGGACAGACAGCTGGTGAGGAAATTCAGGGCACAGGTTACTTTTTCCCCCCTTTCCTTCCAGTTGCATGTAGTGGCACTGCCAAGAAACAGGACTCAGTCTATTAGTACATGGCTTCATGGCTGGTGTCACCACCACGATTTTGGGGTTTTTGACAATGGGATGGCCTACACGGGACCAGGCTTGCTGGCACCAGATGGAATTCACCTTTAGCAAAGAGGGAAGA